TGTAAAATAAACTTGGAGAGTTCCTCTTTCTATCGGCATGTCCTATGTTACCATCCATTGCACCATTCAAGTCTAGCGATATTTTGTAATGTGTCAGGGAATTATGAATAACGAATTTATGCAAGAAAATAATTATTTTGACGTAAATACGTCTATACGGAAGGGACATTCGGCAAAAAAGCGTAACGAAGATGTGTAAGATCCATATCAAGAATGTGTAAATATGGACCTACAGCAATGGTCAGCTTGCGCGCATTGTTATGTTACCTAGGAAACGTCATGTCTTTACTCGGCATTGTTGTGTTTCATTACTGCCGTCAACAATCCGCTGTCGTTATTGCGGAAAGAGCTGAGCTGTGAATCACTTGTAGAAGAAGTGCGTCGTAGAGCAGATAATTTTGTGCTGGTAAAAACGTTTTAGAACATCACAAGTACTTATCTTATACAGGAATTATTAAGAATTTGTGATACAGCCCTCCGCTCTCTCCATTTTAGTTTTGATTAAATTGATCATTGCCGGTGGACATCGTGGTCTCTTAAAGTTGAACAAAGTTTGAGCTAAGGGCAGTGGCGGCTCGAATGTCTGAGCAGTGGTAGTTCTGCGCAACGGGGAAAACTCAGAAGAGTTTTACAACACATAACAACATAAATAAATAAAGAAGTAAATTTACATCAGGAGAAAACCCATACGTGCTCGACGATGTTTTAACTATTTATAAGTCCGGACGAGGACGGCCATATTTTTTTGCATCACTTTTTTCAGTCAAAGAAAATCTAGAGAAAGTAATTTGCTGTAAATATGATATATTTCCTGCGAACCTTGCAGCCCCGGTACGCGCTGTACCAGTGAACTGCCCCTCACTCCACCGCCCGCCGAGCTCCCATTTTGAAGGCTAGCCGCGCTGAAATCCTCGCCCGCGGACTTACTGTCAGTTCAGCCGATTAGTGGATAATGACAATGTAAGGGGCAATATTAAAATAATGATATAGAGGAAATAAAGTGTTACAAATTATATAAATACAAAAAATAAATTTTTCAATATTTGAAAAATTATAGGGGGTCCTGCAGCTCTGCAGTTCTTATGGACGGGCCGCCACTGCCTTTCTGTTCCTAGATGACTCTGGTGACACTCACGGCAAACATATTACCAAAACAAACGCTACAAATTGAAGCACATAATGTAATATAATGAATTAATTGTAAATTAAATTACTCACGAACTTATTGTGATATTGAATTAAGAAATTACAAGATATAAAATCCTTTACTAAATAACATGTTTTATAATGTCCTCATTTCCATGAGTTTAGCTTTATTAGCATTAGTGCCAACGTGTATGACAACACTCTCGTTATCCATGCTGTTTGTCTTCAAATGGAAGTCTATTAACTGTTTTAAAACTGTCCAAAAATTTGGTAGTCAAATTTTAATTTTATGCGTATAATTTATATATTATAATACGCACTATCTGTTGCTTAATACGATGTAAAACATAATATTGTTTATTTAAGTTTGGCGTGGCCAGTTATACGCATGTTTAGTGGAGCATTACGTGGCAAACCCAGTTTGAATAAATTACGGTTGTAGTGCTGTAGTGATTGTTTAAATTTTATATTGTCACGTATGTGAGTTTCATTTACAAGTTTGAAAAAACTGCATTAGCACTTTTGTATAGGAAATATGACTATTTCATCAAATGCCATTTAATGTTCAGTATCAGAACTACAAATAACTTTATGATGTCAACATCTCAAAAAGAGATTAAATGGGGTAATTAGTTTTAGATTAAGAAGGAGGCAAAACTTTTCTTTAGAGTGGAGTATGTTGTTGAATGTAGTTTATGTAGTGGTATTTAGTGATGAAAAACCATGGTTTCAGAATTCTCTGTGGATTAAAATGAATCCACAACATCTAACCCAGCAACCACAGCAGCGATATGGAGCTCCACCAGGTACAGGGTTTGGTCCTCCACAAAGTGTATATCCTCATATTCCACATGGGGGACCCAGACCATCGCCATATGGTACACCAGGAGGATTTCAACCATCATCTAGACTACCAGCATCTGGGGCCATTTACCCACTTGGTCCTCCAGGACCTCAGAATATGGTATCACCTCCACAAGTCACCCCATCCCCTAACAGTAGCATACCTGCACCATTTGGACCTATGCCTGCTGGTCCTGGAATGATGACTGGAGGACCCATGGCAAGCTCACATCGCCCTGACTCTAGTGGATCAAACATGACGAATAGGCTGGCAGGCCCTCCCATAGGTATGCAGATTTGTCTTACAGTTAGAATTAGTTTGTATTTTGAATCCCATAGCAAGATCTGGCTCTTGTATTACCTGACGCAGAAACAGTTTTAGAATTTCTTAAGTTTGTGAGTGCCATTAAATCAAAGTCTCATTTTGAGAAGGAGTTTTTATATTTGTTTAGAACTCCTCTGCTGTTTTCCTTGACTTTTCATAACCTTGGAAATCTTATAATTTGCCATCAAAATGACTGTGTTTACTATAGTAAATATGTGTTATAGTTTTCATATTGCAATTTTATATACATGAAACTGTTTTATGTTTTATTATCCTGAAAATTTTAAGTCTTATGTGTATCTTGTCCATGTGAAATTTTACTGCTGGTAGAAGCTTTTTACATCTTTTTAGTTGAGCAAGTTATTTTAATTTTGTAAGTAGGCTAATTATTTGCTAGGTGTAAATAACATGCACACATGACAGTGATGGCTTGAGTAATAACTAATACTTAGTAACTAAGGATTTTAAAAATAGTTTCCATCTTTTTTGTGATCATCACAATTTTTTTAGAATTGAAGGTTTATGTTGGTTACTTACTTTTTACTTGGATCATTGTACTAATTTGTTATGAATGTTAATGCAAACCAAACTTCATAGCTAACCTGAAAAGTAACTTCTTCTTATTTTTGTAATGGTACCATGTTCTGCTCTCCAGAACATCATTGCCAGTGAATTTCTTCAAATCTTCAGTGAAATTTTTATTTAGTAGTCAGTGCCAATAGATTGTTCTGACTGGTCCTGACACTTCATTTGTTCTTCGTTGCACAATTCTTTCCATGAGCATGTAGTCTGTGTCAGACACATCCTCACATATTTTAAACTGTGAAATTATGTATTCAAAATCAACTACATCCTCTACTTTCCTGATTTATACAAATGCTAATTATTGTGAATAAAAAAGTTTGAAATGTTTAAATCTAAGAGCAACAGACAGACCACATTTTTCATGAACCAAGTTTAAAGTGACTGTCTTCTGTGCTTAACATTATAGTACTCTGACATCTGTACCCTTCCACAATAAAAAGAAATTGTTGGCAGTGTTATAACAATATTTTACAGTTTCACTTTGCCAGCGGAGTTTTATACAGTTATTTACATTGTAGATGCATTTTTAAAAACACTGCATGAATGAAGAGCTAATTTTCCATAAGAGGACATTGAATGGAAGCTGGAATACTTTCCAGAAGTTTGGTCCTGTGCATTAGTCACTACTTTTGGATTACATTTCCTTTCTCCCTCATGTGTCTCATTTTGTAGTATGTTGAAGAACTCAGGATTTTGATCTCTTGGATGCTTGTAGGTGGTTGCTAGCATTTAAAATGAACATACTGCATCCATTTTTATGCAGAAATTATTTTTATACTCTGTAGATGGAGGTGATATGTTCTTGTGAAATGTATGTAGCCATTTACAAGACTACATAACTGTGTATCTTTCTAATCTGCAAGGCTGCACTGTGTTATAACCAAGAAGACCACAGTCCTCATTTTTACTGTCCTGAAAATCTTACAAGCAATTTCACTCTACTATGTTACAGTATTTTGTTATTGTGAATGTACGTTTGATGTAGTACCCCATGCTTTCTTGTTATGAATGATCAGGTTCTCAACCTACTGCACCCTGTGGACCTCGTACTGCACCACAACAGCCACCAATAATGTGGCCACCAGCAACATTAGCTCCAAGTCACTTAGCCACTCAGTTATCAGGGATGAATTTAAGTGGACAATCACGACCACCTGTTCAGATTTCTGTAAGTTGTTCCATTGCACATGACTTTAACATTAAGATTGCTACTGTAAAGACTAAAATAATGGCTTTTCGAGGGAAAGACCCCATTCAGAGCAAATATTGTGCCTGTAACAAAGTTATTGAACAAGTTAATTGTTTTAAATATAATATATTACATGTGAAAGTGAAAATACCTTTCTGAAAACATTCTGATTTACAGCAGAGCAGTGGAAATAATAAACTTAGTGTTCAAAACCAACTGTGCTCAAAAGCATGCAAGCGTGATAGCTTACAAGACCTAATATGACCCATGGCCCTTATAGAAGGAAGCTTATACTGTTTGAAACTGAGATTAAAGTGGAATCACAGCAGCAGAAATAAAATTCATGAGTAAAATGACACAGTGTTTTTGTTTTGGCTGTAAAAGGAATTAAAACATAATGAAGGAATTAAATGTATGGCCAATCATGGAATTTATAGAGATGTACAGTTTTAACTGAAATAACAATGTTGTTTGAATAACCTCTAGAATCCCATTCCAAGTTCTTTGCTACTAACCATATAGCTGAAGGTCTTTGGGGAGACTTCACAAACTCTTGCACGAGTCACAGGCCACTGTATCTAAGGAACTGAGAATTGATGATTTTTCCAAAAGGAATACTTATGTGTTTATTGTGTTTGTATCAATTTCTTATTTCTCTATTCTCCTTTTTCACCAATTGCCAAATTTATAATTAAACTGATGTAACATTCTCTCCCTTTTTTCTGTTTTATCTTCTCACTGGATGTTTCAGTGAATTTCTTTGCAATTTGTTCTTAAAATTTTCTTGTAGGAAACAAACTGTTAATAGTCATACAACAATAAGTGTGCTTGTAATTCAGTAGTGGCATTGCAGATACAGCCATGTGATTTTAGGAGGTAATCGAGAATGGGAACAAATATCTGTCATATGGGGCTTTATGTGGAGTTATTCTTATTAGTGCATACTCTTTCTCATAGTTATTTATTTGTGATTTAATGGCAATGTCAGTAAAAAAGGTGTCCCACTATATGCCATGTAAGCACTTGGGGGAAGAGGAGGTATAGCTCCCACTCATTCTTGACCTCGGCACTAGATGGGGGTGAGTGGTCACCATCACGCTCCGAAAGTAAGGCTGTCCCACTATACGCCATGTATATTCATTCTCAAAGTTATTTATTTGTGATTTAATGGCACTGTGAGTAGCTCAGACAATATATGTCAAATGATAGGACGATAATGAATAATGGACTTCAAAATATCTGGAAGGAAGTGGTTTTGGTCTGTTTTAAGGTTACTATGTTGGAATTTGCCTAGAGGGACTGAGAAAAACCATGAAACCCTCGGTCAGAATTACAAGAATCTCTTATATTATCAGGAGTGCTAACCACTAGCCCACAACATTGCACTTTTTGTAGTTGAATTTATGATCTATGTGTCCAAGTACAATGGATTTTAACTTCGCCCTCAGGCATGATGCATTCAAATCAAAGCATTAGTTTCGTTGTATATAGTACTGTACGTTGTATTTCCATGTCTATTGGTTGTTTAAGTTTTGTCGCCTCATGAATCATTTCGCTTTATATTGTGCATATTTTTTACTCAACGTCTTTGAAAAATGTAGCATATTATTTTATTAGTTCATATGACAACTTCATATACAGAAACAGTTTTTAATCTAGTGGATATTGCAGTATATCTAAACATATAGGTATATCTTCAAGGGTACATGATGTCCAGCTTCAGTTAAAATTCCATATATTTAAGAAAATCAGTTTTGTCATAACGTGTTTTTTTATTTTACTGAGTTGTGATTGTGCACTGATGCAGATCTCATGTAAAACTATTATGTCATTTTCCACAATTGAATTTATAAAATTCCTCTCAAAGTTGAAGTTTGTTGCAGGTTTCCCAGATTTACAGAGTAATTTCTGATTTTACATCTGTTAATTTCCTTCCTTGTTACTACATTCTCCTATATCAAGAATGCACAATTTTTTTCTATAGGACATGTACCATCCAAATGCTGGAGTCCCACCTCAAATGCAGCAGCCACCCATGGGACCACAGGGTCCTGCTGCCAGTTACCCACCACCTCATCAGCACATGGGTCCACAGCAACCACCACATCCATTCATGCAGTCACAACCTGCAAGACGTCTTGATCCTGAAGATATGCCAAGTGCTGTAAGTAACTGGAGCCTTCATATAAGGCAATTGCAATTAAGTTACACTGATCAAGAAACAGTGATTACTGCATTTCTAATATTTGTTATCTGAATTACATAGTTATAATATGTGAAATAAATTAACTCTACGTCTTTGAAAAATGTAGCATATTATTTTATTAGTTCATATGACAACTTCATATACAGAAACAGTTTTTAATCTAGTGGATATTGCAGTATATCTAAACATATAGGTATATCTTCAAGGGTACATGATGTCCAGCTTCAGTTAAAATTCCATATATTTAAGAAAATCAGTTTTGTCATAACGTGTTCTTTTATTTTACTGAGTTGTGATTGTGCACTGATGCAGATCTCATGTAAAACTATTATGTCATTTTCCACAATTGAATTTATAAAATTCCTCTCAAAGTTGAAGTTTGTTGCAGGTTTCCCAGATTTACAGAGTAATTTCTGATTTTACATCTGTTAATTTCCTTCCTTGTTACTACATTCTCCTTTATCAAGAATGCACTATTTTTTTCTATAGGACATGTACCATCCAAATGCTGGAGTCCCACCTCAAATGCAGCAGCCACCCATGGGACCACAGGGTCCTGCTGTCAGTTACCCACCACCTCATCAGCACATGGGTCCACAGCAACCACCATATCTATTCATGCAGTCACAACCTGCAAGACGTCTTGATCCTAAAGATATGCCAAGTGCTGTAAGTAGCTAGAGCCTTCTTATAAGACAACAAACAGTGATTACTACTTGCAATCTGAATTACATAGTTATAATGTGTGAAATAAATCTAACTTGTGTTTAAACAAATAACCCACTGTATAAACATTGATTATTTTTTAGAGCATCTGACCCACTGGTATTATTCTCGTGACTTTTTATATAGTAAGGTATAAATATCTGTAAACATGAAAGGAAATGAGAAGAGCTAGAGGAAGGTGGGCAGGAAATTCAGGAGAGCTGAAATGTCCTGTAGGAGAAGCAACATTACACAGTTTGCTTTCTATGACCTGTGCTTTTGAATTGCATTAGGAAGCTAATGACATTGCATTCTTGATCTTTCAGATTCAGGTGATGAAAGATGACCAGTGCAATAGGTCAGGATATTTCTACACAAATCAGAAGGGGATGGTTCCACCTCTTGTCACTACCAAATTCATTACCCGAGATGAAGGCAACGCTAGCCCCAGATATATTCGTAGCTCAATGTACAGTATTCCAGCTACCACTGATATGATGAAGCAAGTAAGTCTGCCACCAAAATCTTTTTCTTAATATAGAAACTCATAGGAAGGGTTGATATTATCCAGTCCTAATTATGCTGAAACTGTCCTTATACTTGCTTAGAGGAGATAGGGAACATACAAACTGAAAAGGGAAACACAGTCAGGTACTCAATCCTTGATTCCCAGAGAATAAAACAATGGTAATGTATTTTATGTTGTGCACACTGTTTTTAGAATTTTCTTTCTTTCATTTTTCAGGTTGCTGTGCCATTTGTTCTAGTAGTGAGTCCTTTAGCTCGGACATTAGGTGAGGAATATTTGCCACCCATTATAGACATGGGAGAAATTGGACCTGTTAGGTGCAACAGATGCAAAGCCTATATGTGTCCATTCATGCAGTTCATTGATGGAGGGCGACGTTTCCGCTGTCTGTTCTGCAAAGCCCCTACAGAAGGTAAGGGTCTTGTTGTATAGGGATGTAATAAATGGATGAGACAACGCATAAGGAAAATTATACTTGTGGTAATATTAATTTAACTTACATAAAAATATATTAATATAGAATGACCCTTTTATTGTACAAAATTTTAATATTGTATTCAATATCAGATTTTATACTTTCTAATTTCTTTCCTGAAAGATTTGCAAAATTGGCTCCAAAATTGTAATTGGTACATCAGTTTGATCTAATTATAACTACAAAGATAATTATAATTGGTTTTTACTGTGAAACATGAGTAGTAAGCATTTATTGAGATTTGGCATAGTGCTTAGCAATATGACACTGAAGAATACAGAGTCAGCCATCAGATGAAATAAACAAGGAACAAATGAAATAAGATCCTGTGCAGTGTGATAGCACCGCATATGCAAATACAGAAAAAATTTGAATGAAAGTAATTGTTTTTATAATTGTTGACAGTGCCACAAGAGTACTTACAGCATTTAGATCACAGGTGGATCGGTTTGAGAGACCAGAGTTGATACTGGGAGCATTTGAATATGTTGCGACAAAAGAGTACTATAAGGTAAGTTGACTGTTGGCCTTCAGCAATTTCATACTGGACATGCTAAGTCACACTTTCTTTAAGAAATGGTTTTATGTTGTATCACGTAGATGATGTTTCTGAAAATTCTAGTGTTTTCAGGCTAGATGCATGAATATCTAATTTAAAGTGTAATTTTTAGAATAAACTGTTTTCTGTTTCTTGACTGCATAGGATTTAAAAGGTGATTATGGGTAACTTCAATGGTACAAATCTGTAAATGACATGCTATTGGTTATATGATATACATTCACTGTTGGTTGTCTGAACTGTTTTGTATACATTCTTAACACCAGTGGTAGGTGGAATGTAATGCTAACCCTCAACTCCAATTAGTGCCAAGGTTAAAAATCTATTGCATAGAGCTTTATCTCTGTTCTAGGAACCTTCATGGCACAGTAATTAAGCACAGGGAGAAATTTACCTTTTTGTTTAATGTCTACAAGATAGAAAATTATTTGATAACATTTGTAGGCCATATTTAGATAATGGTGTTGTCCAACGATTTTGGGCTAAATGAGGTATTCACAAAACTTTTACCAAAATATATGAAAATATGAATATATTTTGATGTACATATATATTTTTTTGTATCCCTTAAAAACACTTAAAATTGGCTTTGTTGGGTTTTTGGACTTTGTCAATCATCCAAGGATAAAATGTATAGATTCCAGTCTTAAAATGTCTCTACACAGATGAATCAGGCTGTGTACAGATTACAGCCGATATTAATATTTTTGGATTATCTTGTTGCATATTCACATTTTCATGCACATGTGATATATAATTATTTCATATGGTAACAGTTTCATTTGATACATGAAGAATCAATATAAGTGATTCCATAAGTACATTGTGCTAACATGTAATACTGCTTCAGTAAAATGTTGTAGTTAATTTTATATAAAAACATTGTGGCATCAGAGTTTTTTGTCTTGTTTCAGAACAACACATTCCCCAAACCTCCAGCATTCATCTTTTTGATTGATGTGTCTTATAATAACATTAAATCTGGACTGGTTGATCTTCTTTGTGGTCAAGTGAAAGAAATTGTTAAACTATTACCCAAGGATGGAGGAGCTAAAAAGTCGAATATGAGGGTCGGTTTCATAACCTATGATAACACAGTGCATTTCTACAATTTTGAGGTAAGGGATGTAATCTGTAAAAATGTCATCAGTTGCAAGATTAGTTTATTGACATACTCTGTGTTAAAATTTGTTGTCGTTGGACATTTCCAGTTTTGCGTGTTATTCTGCAGAGTTAATTTCCACTCTTCCCTCAACTTTTCCTATTTTTTTTAGTACTTAGTCTGTTCTGAAGATGGCTTTCTTCTGGGTTGCTGCTTGTTGTAGTCTGGTAGAAGTTACTAGTGTTTCAGAGGTGCTTCCTGCCTCTGTCATTAGGGAGATCCATGCCATGATGATAGAGGCAGCAAACTCCTCCAGAACATAAGTATTACCAGACTATGGCGCAACGTCCTAGAAGACAGCCAACAGCATACTTTCCATCATGAGAAATGAAATCTGATCCAGTCTGTTCTCTTCTCTAATTTTCAACTGCTGTATCTGTGGTCTCCACGAGGTTGTCTGGAGATTATGAAATTATATTGGAAGATCAAGTCCATTGTTTATTGACTTCACACTTGGTATATTTAGTGATCATACTATAAATATGGTATTCCCACTGTATGTATTTCATGCGCTAGTGTCTGTTGTAAATTTTGATTGGAAGACCTGAAGAGAAGAAACCACTTGGAAGACATAGGCATAGCTGGGAGAATAATATTAAACTTTATACTGGGGAAATACGGTTGGAGTGTGTATTGTATTCATCTGGTTCAGTGTCGGGACTAGTGGTGGGCTCTTGTGAACACGGTAATGAACCTTCGGTTTATTGTTTGTTCTGAGAATCATATGAAACCCATAAATATGCTCTTGTGTACAGAATGCAGAGATACTGAATGTTAAATCAGGTTGTATGTGCCCTGTAATTACAACTGGACTCTATAGGGTTAAAGTGATCACAGCCTTAAAGCTCTGGTACTACTGAAATTGAGTGTTAAATTTATGTAACTATTACGTTTTATCCCATTTTGCTTGTGTCAGTATTATCAAATTTTTAATAGTGTCATGTACTTAGTATTGTTATGTGTTAGTATTCACTTATAGCCACGGTGGTCTAGCGGTTAAAATGCTGGCCTTGTAATCCTGGGGTCTCGGGTTCGATTCCCGGTGGTGCCCGAATTTATAACTTGTGTTGGGCAAGGCCGTGGTCTAGGCAACACGGAGTTTTCCTCCCTGGCATACAACAATTACTCCATTCACACACAGAAGAAGGCAATGGCAAACCACTTCTGGATCATCTGCCAAGAACGTACATGAACAGGTCCCAGTCCGAGAAAAGGATGGAAAGATCCTGTTCATATGGACCTGTCGTCAGACAGAACACTAAATAAGTAAAATAGTATTCACTTATATTGGAAATATGCAAAAGTCCTGTTAAGTATGTTTTCAAGCATCTGTGTAATGTATTTAGATTCATTTATTACTTCCAGCTTTAAGACATATTTTTCTCTCATTTCTGTATTTTTTCATGCATTTGATTTATCCAGCAACAGTATCACTTGCTTTAACTAGATATATTCAGCACATTTATTGTAGTTTTTTCTCAGTCTTTCATTATAGTTATGTTGCACAACATGTATGTGAACATGACTGATCAGCTCTCAAATCACCTTTGTTCATAACACAGTTTATCAGTGATGTTTTCAACATTTATGGTTTTTCAATGAAAACATTTTAAATTCACTTTCTTTCAGGGTTGTCTTGCTCAGCCAAAGATGACAGTGGTGACAGATGTACAGGACATGTTTGAGCCTCTAATAGGGGGTTTTCTGTGTGATCCCACAGAATCTGAGGCAGTTATTAATAGCCTGATGAAACAGATACCCACCCTGTTTGCTGACACTCGTGAGACAGAAACAGTACTGGCACCAGCAATCCAGGCTGGTCTTAAAGCACTCCAGGTATAGTACTGACAGATGCTTAATACACTCTGTTCAGTTTACCAGTATTTACTAATTTTAGAGGCCTTACAAAACAGGTTTCTGACATTAGTATAATTATTACAAGAAATCAGGCTTTCTGTAAGAAAATAATTATCAAATTTTATATACTTTTTTAATAAAGAAATTTATTTGTTGTCAAAACTGACAAGGATTTGAATTTGTGCGTGTTAGAATGATCTTTCAGTTGTGGTATTCTATATAATATTGGTAATTTCTTGATTAGTTGAGTGACTATCAGCTTCTCAAAAACTCTGTTCCATGGAGCTAGGTAATTAACAATTAAAATATTTGTTTTGTAAGTAAAAAGTGTATCAGTGGAATTTTAATTTAAGTAGTGGAAATGAAAGGAAGGCTTTACAATAAAATACTTCATATAGTGGTTTGACGATTGTTAAAATAAAAGATGTGTACCTTGGCAACTAACAAATTCAGGTATGGAAACAAGTTGTTGATATGAGCAGTTGTGACATGTAAAAATAAAGAAAGTTGTTTTATCAAATTGGTTTTTGCCTCTATATTTGTGAGCATTGCAATATACTTTTTGAGATATAATTAACAAAGGTATGTATGGAAGTATAGTTATTGTAATTGAGTTGGAAAACCATGGACAGTTTTAACAGTGCAGTCTAGTTTCTTATTAATTTTGTGCAACATGACAGTAATTTTATATGGTACAATTTTTACGCAGGCCTCAAAATGTGCTGGGAAGCTGTTGGTATTCCATTCTTCCTTACCAACAGCTGAAGCTCCAGGAAAACTCAAAAACCGAGATAACAAGAAACTGCTTGGCACAGAAAAGGAAAGAGAATTGTTAGGTAAATTCCAATTATACAATATCTTTGTCTCTTCTTTTATGCCCTCCACTGTCATTGCCACACAGACTATTACATGTAGTGATCTGTTTGGTATTTCGCAAGACTTATAATGTGACACCATGGAGGATAATATTAGAATAAATGTGTGATGTCTTATCCTTTCATTTTTAAAACTTCAATTTAATTACAAAGCAAAAATTATTCAGTACTTGTTTCTTCTGTTTACACTAAGTTTTGTGTGTTATGTAAGATGTGTATTTATTTGTAGTTAGTAACACTGTGTTAAGTCATTCAAACTGTATAGCATCAAATGAGGGGATAGTAGTGAGTAATGAATTGGAAAGTATGTGGAAGGAAGCAGTCAGGCCTAATTTGAGGTACTATCCCAGCATTTCCCTTAAGGGACTGAGGAAAATAATGGAAAACCTTGCTGAAGAGAGCTGGTCTCAGGGCTGAGATTTGAACCTGGGATCTCTCAAATATGAAGTGGTAGCACCAACCACTTGACCATGATTTTATTATTAATTATTATTGACTGCAAATGGGTTTTTACCCAGTGGCAGTGGTGCTACAATAAGACACAACAAAACAATAAGACAAAAAACATAAGACACAACAAAACAAT